GAAGTGATGAAGGAAGTAGTAAAGACGAGCTGTCCGGAGTGTGGCAAATGTTTATGACGATTAGATTAAGGTATCTGCAATTATAAAATGCTATGGGAAGGGAGGTAAACAGGTCCGTGACATAGGAAGTGGTGAAGGAATTAGTAAATGCGAGCAGTCCGGAGTGTGGGAACTGTTTATGACGATTAGATTAAGGTATCTGGAATCATAAAATGCTATGGGAAGGGAGGATAACGGATCCGCGACGTAGGAAGTGATGAAGGAAGTAGTAAATGCGAGCTGTCCGGAGTGTGGGAACTGTTTATGACGATTAGATTAAGGTATCTGCAATCATAAAATGCTATGGGAAGGGAGGTAAACAGGTCCGTGACGTAAGAAGTGGTGAACGAAGTAGTAAATGCAAGCAGTCCGGAGTGTGGGAACTGTTTATGACCATTAGATTAAGGTATTTGCAATCCTATGATGCTATGGGAAGGGAAGGATACAGGTCAACGACGTAGGAAGTGGTGAAGGCGAGCAGTCCGGAGTGTGGGAACTGTTTATGACGATTAGAATAAGGTATCTGCAATCATAAAATGCTATGGGAAGGGAGGAAAACGGGTCCGTGACGTAGGAAGTGATGAAGGAAGTAGTCAAGGCGAGCTGTCCGGAGTGTGGGAACTGTTTAAGACAATTAGATCAAGGTATCTGCAATCCTTAAATGCTATGGGAAGGGAGGTAAACAGGTCCGTGACGTAGGAAGTGGTGAAGGAATTAGTAAATGCGAGCAGTCCGGAGTGTGGGAACTGTTTATGACGATTAGATTAAGGTATCTGGAATCATAAAATGCTATGGGAAGGGAGGATAACGGATCCGCGACGTAGGAAGTGATGAAGGAAGTAGTAAATGCGAGCTGTCCGGAGTGTGGGAACTGTTTATGACGATTAGATTAAGGTATCTGCAATCATAAAATGCTATGGGAAGGGAGGTAAACAGGTCCGTGACGTAAGAAGTGGTGAACGAAGTAGTAAATGCAAGCAGTCCGGAGTGTGGGAACTGTTTATGACCATTAGATTAAGGTATTTGCAATCCTATGATGCTATGGGAAGGGAAGGATACAGGTCAACGACGTAGGAAGTGGTGAAGGCGAGCAGTCCGGAGTGTGGGAACTGTTTATGACGATTAGAATAAGGTATCTGCAATCATAAAATGCTATGGGAAGGGAGGAAAACGGGTCCGTGACGTAGGAAGTGATGAAGGAAGTAGTCAAGGCGAGCTGTCCGGAGTGTGGGAACTGTTTATGACAATTAGATCAAGGTATCTGCAATCCTTAAATGCTATGGGAAGGGAGGTAAACAGGTCCGTGACGTAGGAAGTGGTGAAGGAAGTAGTAAAGGCGAGCTGTCCGGAGTGTGGGAACTGTTTATGACGATTAGATCAAGGTATCTGCAATCCTTTAATGCTATGGGAAGGGAGGTAAACAGGTCCGTGACGTAGGAAGTGGTGAAGGAAGTAGTAAATGCGAGCAGTCCGGAGTGTGGGAACTGTCTATGACCATTAGATTAAGGTATTTGCAATCCTATGATGCCAACGGAAGGGAGGAAAACAGGTCCACGATGTTGGAAGTGATGAAGGCAGTAGTCAAGGCAACCTGTCCGGAGTGTGGGAATTGCTTATGACGATTAGATCAAGGTATCTGCAATCCTAATATGCTATGGGAAAGGGGGTAAACAGGTCCGTGACGTAGGAAGTGGTAAAGGAAGTAGTAAATGCGAGCAGTCTGGAGTGTGGGAACTGTTTATGACGACTAGATTATGGGATATGCAATCCTAAAATGCTATGGGAAGGGAGAGAAAAGGTGCGAGACGTATGAAGTGGCGAAGGAAGTAGTCAAGGTGAGCTGTCCGGAGAGTGGGATCTGTTTATGACGATTAGATTAAGGTATCTACAATCTTAAAATTCTATGGGAAGAGAGGGAAACATGTCCGCGACGTAAGAAGAGGTGAAGGAAGTAGTAAGGTGAGCAGTGTGGAGTGTGGGAACTGGTACTACAATGCTGAAATGCTATGAGAAGGGATGGAAGCATCCCCACGACATAGAAAATGGTGAAAGAAGTAGTAAAAGCTAGCAGTGCGGAGTATGGGGAATGTTTGTGGCAATTAGATTAATGTATCTAAAATACTAAATTGCTATGGAAAGTGATGAAAACAGGTCCACGATGTAGGAAATGGCTTAGAAAGTAGAAAAGTATGAGCATAGTGTGAAAACCGTCTATGGCAGTTAGATTGATGTATCTTTAATCCAAAAATGTTATGAGAAGGGAAGGAAACAAGTCTATGACGTAGGAAATGGTGAAGGAAGTAGTAAGGCTTGCAGTGCAGAGTGTGGGAACTGTCTTTGGCAATTACATTAATGTATCTGCAATCCTAAAATGCTATGGCAAGAGAGGGAAATAGGTCCACGACGTAGGGGGTGGTGAAGGAAGTAGTAAAGGTGAGCGTGTTGAGTGTGGGAATGGATTAATGTATCTGCAATGCTAAAACACTATGGGAAGAGACTGTAGACTGTAGGTTAAAATAATTACGAAGCACGAATCGATACATATTTCGATACATGCAATCGTTTGTTTATAATAGTAATTTACAACTGAGTTGACAACAGCTGATTTTTACTCCATAGAGGATAAAAACTATTTTTACTTGCTAAAGAGTAAAAATGTTACTTTAGACCAGCAACGCATGCATTAAATACGACTGGTATTACTGCAGTATGACCAAAACAATATAATATAAACCCTTGATGACTCCGCTCAATTTTGTGGATGCCTCTGCGAACGCCACCTAGTAAAACTCGGTTAGCCTAATAAACCGCTAGCATAGTACATTTTTTGTGGACCTTGCATGGCCCAGTCATAACATTCACATACATCTTGGTTGTTTATTAATCGATCTTTACGATTGAGGTATCGTTGGATTAGTCATACGATTTAGTAAAAACGCAAACTCTAATAGTTTTTGGTAGAATCACTCGTTTTCAAGATATTTAAAGATGATAGGACATTTTTAACGGTCACAATTTTGAATTGGTAAGATTTAGAAATCTGGTACCTACATTGTACTAAGATTAGTCCTATGTCTCTCTACTTACATACTAAGTTTGAAGTCAAGTTCTTTAGGAGCTCAACATTATGTAAAAATCTAAAACCTGTATATTTGATGTTTTTTCATTGTTTTGACATAGGGAACAAATATTGAGCGTTCCAGAGAGTTTGTATAGTTTAGATTGTATTTATAAGTGTTGTCATCTGAAAGAAAGGTGTATATATAAATTTTAACAAATGGTGTTTTTGGCCTCTGAGGTCATAACAATAAAAAATAAACTTGTCTCGATTCTTTCTGTGTTGCCTATATTGGTAATAGTGTCTTCCCTATGGGAAAGTTTGTTAATAAAAAATATTCTTTTTATGTTATACAGACTTTCAATGTCATAACTTTGACTTTGGCCGTAAGCATGACCAATAATTTAAAATACCTAAAAATGCCTTATACAGTAAACAATAATTAAGATGAATTAAAATATACTAGCAGCCTGTGTCACTTCCTGAATTCAAATCCCAAATCCGTGATATATATTTGAATTAATTTACAATTTTCTATTGCTCTGAGTTAAGTTTAATATTAACTATTTTTTTACGTGATAATCACTAAATTTAGAAAACACAAAATCTAACTTAAGTCATTCTTTACATTTTAAACAAATAACATTATAATATTTTACTTGAATTCCCTAAACATTAATAAAAAGTACTATGAATAGACAAAACCCGATCAAAACACAAAATCTAACGCAATTAATTTTCTTTTTTACATTTTATACAAATAACATTACAATATTTTACTTGAATTCACTAATCATCAACAACTGTATACGATAAGCCCATTTTTGTATAGATGTAAACAAAATATTGTATCATGGACATCTGTTTTGATGTAAACAAATGTAAACTTGAAAAAAATCAGGCGATTGCCATCAGAATTAAGCACAAACTATGAAATTTTAAAAGTCTATAGGACGAAGTGCATTCACGGGATATCATCCAAACCTGCAAAAGGCACATCTAGAGGATAAGAGCTTTAAATTGATACCCAATATGTCTATAAAAATAAATATATAGGGGTCGATTTGCTGCACATAAAAATCCAACAAATTCTTTAATAATATAGATATTTATCACAGCCAAGAGATCCCGCATATCAACTAGAGGAAACAATGACCTACATATGCCTATTGATTGATACTTCCTCAGAATCATGCCACTCACAGCACCATGGAGGGCTAAGGTCTATAAATAGTTTAGTTTCACAAATAATGTTTGACATTAAACATTAATGTATTGCAATTGCCACTGTTAATACATGATTTTATTATTGACTAGCTGTACCCACGGGCTTTGCCCCGTTTAACTTCTTAATTTTCAAGATGAGCTCGTTCGTATGGCTCAATCACGTCCTGGTTGAAGTTCGTTCGCTACGCTCACTCATCTTTAGGTTGGAGCTCGTTCGCTGCGCTCACTTGCCTTCAGGTTAGCTCGTTCGCTACGCTAACTCGCCTCCGGGTTTCACTTTTGGTTGCAAATTAGCTGTTGCCATAAATATAAAAAAAATAATAGTGCTGCACCCTGTTGGTAATCCTTGTAACTTCAATGCTATTGAACATCATAGAACATAACCAACTTGTTTAATTTAAACAGCTGATAAGGTTCATTAATTCCTTTTAAATATGAAAAACCATAAGGTTAACATGGGAAACTCCAGAGCCACTGGGGCGGAGCCCGAGGGTCCGATCAGAATAAAAACAACTTAGTTTTCCTATTTAATACCTAAAGAATCGGTGTACCAAATTTCAGCCTCCTAGGTAAATGGGAAGTGGGAGAATTAGTGATGAGTGAGTGAGTGAGTGTGTCAGTGAGGGCTTTGCCTTTTATAAGTATAGATTAATAACATGAATAAACAAATACGAACCTTCTTTCGTGTTTAGTCTGTTAACATCAGTCTCGTTAACTTTCAGGATTACATCTCCTGCTTCCACCTAAAACAGAATTAAACATTGTAAATATGTGTCTCTAAACAATAAAATGCCATAAATTAAAAAAATACCCCCGCCGCAGCCAACCTGCAGACTAAGCGAATTTCAACTTGTCAATACATTTTTACTAAAATATTTCCATAAACATATTTATTCCCAATTTAAATAACATTAGATTTAACAAGTGCTTAGGTTTGCTGCTACGGGGAAGGTAAAAAGTGTTTTTTGGCCATATGTCAATAGTATAGGATGAAATAAATAAATTTGCCAAATTTTATCAATATATATCCATAAACAAGTAAACTACAACAGTTTTCATTTTCTCCATAAGAATAACATGGGAATTTTAAATTACACTTTTTTTTTATTTTCTCCGTGACCGTTAGGCATACAACAGCGCTTCAGTATACTAAATTATTTCTTTTTTTAAGCTCTACAAAATGGTTGAGAAAGAAATTGCAACATTTTTTGTTTTTAGGGTAAAAAATGGGAAAACCCATTTTTACCCTATAAAACCCCCCATAAACCCCTGTTCCCATGGTCCGATTATGCTGGTTCGCGAACTCGTTCGAATAAACGTAGGTTTACACGTTTGTACCAAATTTCATCAAAATCGGATCATTTTTGCTCGAGTTATCGCGCTAACGGACACATATATAAATAATTATATATATATATATATGAATTTCAACGGATGGTGTTTTTGGTCTCTGGGGACCTCAAAATGAAAAAGTAAATCGGTCCCGGGTCTAGGTCTTACCATGAGACCTACGGTAATAGCTTATTCCCTATATGGGAAATTCGCTAAAAGGAAATTTTAAAACCAACAGTATAAAAAAACTGATTGAGTAAAAACATTGTGTTAAAAAAAGGGTCATAGAAAAAAGTGCTAGTATTTAAAATATTAATAATCATGTACCATACCACAATAAAATTATTATTATGGATTCATTTGAAGAATAATTTTTGATAATGAACCACACAGGGAGACTTTAAGCATAGTACTTAAAATTAACAATTATTTTATGATTTACTTATTCACATTGAGTAGCCTATGTTTTAGCATTTGAGTGTGATCCACGTGTTTAGACCTAACACTGATTGATTTGAAACTTAGATGCTACAATAATGAGGACATGTTATGTTTTGTGAGAACATTTAGCTTTAAACTTCTATATCTTAATGATCAACGTATTACTTATAAACCACATAGTTTTTATATCCTAAATGCATCTAGTTAAACTCTCCCTTGTTGTTATTTGTGTTTTCCCTATATAGCCTATCAGGTTTAATGTATTTAGGCCCACTTTAACAATGAAGCTTAGTAATATTATTTTTTTAGAGTTGCTTTAGAGTGTGTTATTTATTGATGTCGGTGATCCCATCTTTGAGCTGTTTTATATGTATGTACGGAATAGAACATCCCAAACAGGTCTTTGACCTAGGGATGAATTGTTTCATCGATAAATAATTTACACGTGTGTAAATTTACTTAATCTAATTTATTCTTAGTTTTACTCTATGTGGAAGCTTTGTAAATCAATAGGCCTATATGAAACAATAAAGATTTTCTGAAGAAAAAAAATAATGTGCATAATCATTCTTTTTTTAAGCCAGCCACATTATTCTTCAGTGGGAAAAAATTACATAAATACACAAAGGTTTGTACATTTGTGGGCTTTGGTAAAGTTTTTTGTAAAGTCTACATTAATTTATAAACTTGTTTTTCATTTCAACTCCCAATTTTTGGAATTTACAAATGTGTTTTAAAATTCACAACTTGGTGTTAAAGCAAACAAAATAAAATTGAACAGTTTAATTAATTTCATAGCATTAAACACAGAGAGCTCTAAATGTTTAGACAAATCTGAGGATTATCATTGCAGTTAGTCTTACCTTCAGATCTTCAGGTAAAATGAGCTGATACTTCAAAAAAAGATTAACTTCATTTTATTTGATATTTTAGGGTAAATTTAAAAAACAAAAACGGAAATGTAGTCTCGTGATAGGCAGGCACATATTGGAGCTTATCTGGCAATGTGGCTGGTAGTTAAATACACCTGATCATGTGATAAACTGAAATATTTACTGTACATTGCGACCTACCCCATACCATAAACAAGCATTTCCCCCAGAAACATTTGTATCTACATGACTGTATACAATGTGAGTTTTACTAGTGAAATAATATTTGTTAAGAAAGAGGAAAGGATAGATGTGGTAAATACTATTTTATAATATACCTAATGATAATTGCTACTATAGCATACAAATATACCACATACAAAGTGTTTTTAAAGTTAAAAATAAAATGATGTTGTAAATTTAACCCATATTTTAGATAAATATCTTGATTTGTAAGCATATTTTATAACACACATATTCTAAGTTACTAAATCACTGAAATAGGCAGATGTCTTTATGTTATACAGCATGTAAACTGTTAGTGTATCTAACATTAGTACGGTAGTAGCCTACTTGTTCTTTTTTTGCCTGATTCTACTACAGTTTTTAATTTTATTTACAAATATTATCAACATTTTTAGTAACAAATCGTTGTTAATACAGTTAGCAAAAAACTTAGTCATTAAGTTATATAGCATGTTTATTTTAGCTACTTGAATACCTAAACTAAAAAGTAAAACAATTGTTTGTTCCTTGAAAAAGTTGGTCAATATGTTTATACAAAATGTTAAAAGCTTTTCTATCCCAGGGAGCTTTCCCAAAACCGAAATTCTAATAACTTTTTTCAACTGTTATCATTAAAATTGGTACTAAGAATCATTTTTTGTAACTACAGTATCAACACAGCTTGAAAACTGGGAAATGTTAGGGATTTGACAAAGAGTGTTATGCCAAGTTCCCCAAACACATTTTAAAACCAAGTTTTATTGGATTTTCTTTTCAAAAGTATTATTCACTCTGTTTTATTTACTAGTACGGTTGAGTTAATTGGCTTTAATCGTTAAAAAAATAATATTGTAAACAGACATTTTACAATTTACTAAAAACATTTTTATTACAAACCATAGACATTTGATCGCTGAGAAACTAACAATTCTGCAATGTAAAAGTAAAACTTCAGCATGAGCATACATTCTAATATTTTAGAATACTAAAATATGTAAGAGAGAGTAATATGTATGTGGTTATGTAAGAGAGAGTATTCTCTCTATGATGTACAGACAGACAGACAAACATAATTTTATTAGAGAATAGGATAGGATAGGATTACATCAGTGATAAGCAGCTGATAAGGTTGTATTTAACTAGGGACCTGCACTTGGTCTGTACACTGTACACTATGTGATGAACTGAAATATTTACAGTACAACAACTTGTCTAACCCATAAACGCTCGCTATCCTAGCTCATCAATTAGCCAAATAAGCTGTAACTACCACTCACTTCAAAACAGCAATCACGGGCTTTAATAAACAATCATGGAGTTTTATAAGCAATTCACTGTAAATTAAAAAATAATTCATTTATCATAACATTTTGTTAGTGTATTTGACTGAAACAGTTATTTATTTGTATACATTTATAAAGTGTGTTTGGTTGAATTGTAATGTATGTGCTGAATATAAGCTATGAATAGTTGGAGACTAAGTGAGGGATGCTAACTCATTGGTACGTTCAACAACATAGAACAAATACCTGTGTCGCAGCAAACCTGCAGACTAACCCAATTACCATTTGGCTATTGGATTTTCACTAAAATATTTCCTTATTCAATTCAGATTTATTTCCTACTGAAATAACATTAGGTTTAACAAGTACGCCTTGGGTCTACTTGGGTTTGCTGCTCAAGGTAACGAAAAACGTTAATTTGTAAAATGTTGATAGCTTAGCATGAAATAAATAAATTTGCCAAATGTAATCATAATCCATAAACAAGCAAACAATATAATATAGTTTACTGATTCTACATAAAAATGAAATAAAACATAATAATTTGAAATAAATAAAAAACAAAAACTTAAGCACGCGCCAGAAAATGCCACTTTCAGTCCTATTAATGAAATATACTAATTCTTTATAGTGTAGAGAAAAGTAACGTCTCAAAACACGAGTGAAAGTGGGTAAGAGTCATGTATAATGCCATCTATACATATTCTCAACCATTTAAACTGCTTGATAAATCTCGCACTTCAAACATGGTCTCAAATATGTAATGACTCACTTTCTACTCTTGTTATGAAATATACTATTTTATCCCTCCACAGTGCCAGAAATGAAAGGATAAAAATTTAAAAAAACCAACGTTTAAAAATTTCTTGTAGTGGGAGATATAGTACTGAATAGGAATTTATAGTATAGTTGAATTTTATGGTTTTAATTCATTAGAATTTACAATATAAGTTTACCAAAGTGTACGTAATTATGTACAATCTATTGTTAAAATCAAAAACCAAAAATATAACATAGGTAACAATTACAATATGGGGACCGAAAATTTCTGTTTTAGCGTTGGTAATACAACACCAACTTTGTGTAAAACTGGACTCTTACAGAAGCCACATAAAAGCAAAGGATTTGCCCTGAGTGTGGGCTGGATGGTATGACACAGATATGTTGTAAATATCCTCCCATTCTTGCACTGTCCATCATTGGTCAGATGGATTATGTCCATTTCATTTCAAATACACATGATGTGTATGGTTTTTAAATAAACATAATATTTTTAATTACCATGCTAATAATTAGAAAACGAGAATAAAATGCATTGCTTATATTGTTATTGTATTTTTGTACTTTCAGGCAATTTAATAACATGTAAGAACAGATTAAGAAGTTACTTATTGTTTTCTAGCTTTAGGATTCCATTGTTTAAATAAATTATAGGGGGGAGGGGACTTCAATCCTTGTTATTTACATAGGAACATTATGGCTACGTTTTAACGTCTGTTAACAAACTTTTGACTATCATATTGCCCAACTCAGTCAAACCAATACATAACTTTTGAGTCCAACAACAATGACACAACAACAATGAGTCCA